ATAGCATAGATGTACTTAACAACATCAAAACCTACAATGATTCATTAGAAATCATAAAACATGAATGTACTTAACAACATTAAAGGCATGTTATGATTCATTCAAAATCATAATGCATAAATGTACTTAACAATATTAAATCGCCAATAACCAAAGCCACAAGTCACAATTAAACATTGGTTGTCAACTTAGAATTGAATGCGAAATCAAATATGGAAGACTTAGACATTAAGCTCGGAATTCTGCCGAGACCTTAATGGTTATTCTGGGCATTAACCAGTTGGGAAGACCACCCTAGTGCGTACTATAAATGGGGAGAACTTATACATCCAGCACTAGAGCCAAACTTTAGCCATATCTCAGTAACAATGTCCCAAGTGACTCCAAAATAAATAAGTTAACAACTTATATACGTATTAAATAGTACACGAAACTACCTTCATGCACAAGTAGGTTGAAACCGCACAATACATGCTCTAAATCCACAACTACTATAGGATGACAAATGTCGAATCTTCAGAGTACGATTCGTTACACACTATAATAACATCACATATCGAATCTTCAGTGTGCGACTCGTTACACGCTATGACAATATAATCTAATATTGAAAACATAAACTGGAGAATCTAATACAGGTCCAAAATTATGATTTAAACATATAACCAATGCCAAACACATAATTGAATCATTGACGCAATAGAAACGAAAATTAATTAAATAAACTAATTAATATCTCTAAGTTTCAAATTTCAATTAAATGGCCCCTAATTAATACATGTTAAATAACATAGCATAGTCATTACATATATTCATTCAAATCTCAAATAAGCCGATGGAACAACGAGGTAGAATTTAATTAATTCATGATAATTAAGTCCCTAAATTCTAAAACAGCTCTAAATGGTCCCAAACTAATATATGCTAGTATTCAAGTCCTAGTCATTACAATATCAAGTAAAAAACTCAATTAAGCTAATGGAACCTTTAAATAAATTTTAATTAACCCTTTAAATTAAAATCTCTTGAATTTTAGAATCATCCAAATGCTCTCAAATTAAAGTATGTTAAAGAACATATCAAGACTTAATTTAAAAGCATATTACAAGTTATTTCATGCAAGGTATGCCCATGAGAATTAAACTTTCACCAAAGATAATTATTAAATAAAAAGTTCAATTCTTATTCAAATAATTCCAATTTAATATATGTTAACAAACATATCAAAGCCAAACTTTCTACTATGCCACAATTTAATTCTAAGTTATCTATCCACATGAGAATCAAATCTTAACCATAGAAATTAATTAAATTAAATTATAGGATTTAAACCAAATCATGCATACAAGTTATAAAAGCTTCTAAAATTATCAATACAACATGAATATAAACCTAAAACACCTCCTACCTCAATTTGAGATGAAAATCTCAAAAGCCACCAAAATGAAACCGCTTCGAATTCGACGATACTTCGAGGTTACGTCGGGGACTACACGGTGAACAAGAATCCCAAGGAAGCCCCATCAAAATCACAACTTGACTTCAAACCTGAACTCAAGAAATGGCCAAAACGAGATTCCAATCGGTGGAATCGAAGGCCTTACCAAGGTGAACATAAAACACTAAGGCACTACGGTGTTTCACTGAAGAGAAGAAGCTCAAAAGAGGAGAGAGATGGTGGTAGCCCTTGGCTGCCATGGAATCCGGCCAAGAGAGGGGAGAGAGAGAGAGAGAGAAATCTGATTTTTCATTTCAAAACTCCCTATTTATAGAAAAACTCAAAAGGTGCCCCGAACGGGCCCCGCCTGGTCCAGAAAAGTGGAATTCGCACAGACACACTCAAATGGCAAAACTCCGTGAACAAAAAAGAACCAAAACGAGAAAAGACGAATAATAGAAGAAACAGCGTCGAAAACTGAGTCCCGAGTAGAGAGATATGCCTCGAACAAGTTCGGCGGCAACGGGGGCCAAAAATCTTGAAACTGGAGAAAAACAACCAGAAGGAAATTCTAAGAGTACAAGACTCAACGAAAAGTGAAAATGAATCTCGTACGAGGATCTAGAATCAAAACAAGGCATTTAGCAATAACTTTCATTAACTGCACAATGGCCCCTCAAAAAAGTGAAAACTACTCAACTGGCTTAGAATGAAAATATCTTCCAAAAATATTTTCTTAAAAACCCTTGAAATAAAATATCTTCAAAAGATATTTATGAAAAACACCCCAAGAAAAGAAAAATATTCTGAAAAACTATGCATCCATGCCTCTATGGACACCAGGAGCAACCACAGTACTTTACTGCAAAAGTGAATATACATATTTTGTGGAAACCACTTATAATAAAGATATGTAAATTCAAAAATCAACTCCGAACACAAGAAGTGTGGTTATGCCAACAAAGTGACAAACGGAAAAAGACAAAATAGGGAAAATGACAAAAAGTGAATAGTGTTCAAAAAGTGAAAATATGGAAATGACTCGGTCCTCAAAGGAAGTTGTCAATCCAAAGAAAAGAGTCTCGAATACCATCCCCGGGCACTCAAGATGACACTAAGTGATCAGAATCCGAACTCAGAAAGGAAAAGATCAACGGAAAAAAATATTCTTAAAAACTGAGAAAATGAAAGGAATGAAAATGACTGGATCATTATAATAACTAAGTGAATATATAACAAATCTAATTCCATGATTTAAACATAGAAACAGCTTCTAAGGCATAGTTAAATCAATGGAACAAGTAGATAAAATTTAATTAAACAAAATAATTAAATTCTCTAGATTTCAAATTAATTCCAAATAACCTCAAATTAATATATGTTAAAGGACATAGCATGGTCTTCACATATATCACATCAAATATCAAATTAAGTGATTAAAACAATTAAAATAAAATTAATTAAACTAATTAATTAATTTTCTCTAGATTTTTAAACAGCTCCAAATGTCCTCAAATTAACATAGGTTAAAGAACATACCAAAGCCTATTTTAATATCACATTACTAGTTGATTTCATGCTAGTTACAACCATGTGAATTAAATTTTCATAAAAGAAAATTATTAAGTAAAAGTTGTAATATTTATTCAAATACTCCTAATTTAATGAATGTTAATAAACATATCAAGACCTAATTTAATAGCATGTCACAATTTAATTCTAAGTTATATACATCCATGTGAATTAAATCCTATACAAAGAAATAATTAAATTAAATTTCTAAATTTAATATAAAGACATGTAAACAAGTTGTATAAGCATGGCAAGCACTCAATACAACACATACATAATCCTAAAACATCTCCTACCTCAATTTGAGATGAAAATCTTAAAAGCCACCAAATGGAAATCGTCCCGAATTCGACGATGCTTCGGGGTTACGACGAGGACAACGAGGGGAACAACAATCTTTCATGAGGCACCACAAAAATCCAAACCCGAAATCGAAACCCGAACTCAAAAATAGTCGAAAATGATTTCTAATAAGGGGGAAATGACTGCCTCGCCAAGGCTTACGATAAACACTAACGCACTACGGCACTTTTTAAGAGGGAAGTGGTCGGAAAAGAAGGAAGAAGGGTGGCAGCCCCTTGGGCTACCATGGCTGTCGGCCAAGAAAGGAAGAAGAAGAAAAAAAGTTGACTTTTTATTTTACAATCCCCTATTTATAGAAAAACACTAAAAGTGCCCCGAATACGCCCCGCCGAATCTGAAAAAGTGAAATTTGCGTAGACGCACTCAAACGATAACACACTATGAACAAAAAAGAACCGAAATGAAAAAAAATGAACAACAAGAGAAACGGCGTCGAAAACTGAATCTCAAGTAGAAAGATATGCCCCGAACAAGTTTGGCGGCAACCGGGGTCAGAAACCCTAAAACTGGAAAAAATGACCAGAAGACAATTCTAAGAGTACGCGACTCGACGAAAAGTGAAAATGAATCCAGTACGAGAATCTAAGCTCAAAACGAGGCATTTTGCAATAACTTTCGTTAATTGCACAATGGTCCCTACAAAAAGGGATAACTGCATAAATGACCTAGAAAGAAAATATTTTCTTAAAAACTCTCGAAATAAAATATTTTTAAAAGATATTTACGAAAAATATCCCAAGAAAAGAAAATGTTTCTGAAGAAATTATGCATTCATGCTCCTACGGACACGGAGAGCAATCAGAGTACTTTTCTATAAATAATTAATTATTTGTGACATATGAGTAAAAATTGTCATAAATAATTAGTCATTTGTGACAAATGAAAAAAAATGGTTACAAATAACTAGTCATTTGTGACAGATGATAGTACCCGTTACAAATAATTATTCATTTGTTACAGGTAAATAAAAACTATTACAAATAATTAGTTATTTGTAACAAATAATTGTAGTTATAAAAAATAATTAGTCATTTGTGACAGCTTTTATAAATGGTAACAAAAAGCCTTTTTTTTTTGTTATAGTTTTATAAATATCCATCACAAATACCCTTATTTGTTGTAGTGCAAGTAAAGTTCTAAAAAAACCCCATTAATGGATTATTTGATTTAAGAAAGATAATTTAATATTTTGAAATTAGGGCTTAGAGGGTGTTTTGAATAAAGAATAATGATTTCAATGCATGCCTAATTATTTTGCCTAATTCAAAAAAAAAAAAAAAAACATTAATAATAGACACTTTTTAATTTAAAACACTTAACTTTAATAATGTCCAACTCATCTAAGGAACATAAATTATAAATTCGTCTATTAAAATTCTTGGTTTAACTATTAGGGATAGAATCAAAGTCGTAAGTTGAGCAGCTCATATGCATTATTACACTTCAGTATGCACTAATAATTGAGCCAATAAAAAATACACTAAAATAACATAAAATATCAATGCACCACCAGGACATTCTAGCCAAATTTAAGTACAACTTTATGTGTCCTTTTCCTTTAAGGTAGCCTTTAAATAGCTCCCCCATGCAGCCATGCTTCCACTCACATCAAAAACCCATACTTCTCTCTCTCTCTCTCTCTCTCTCTCTTTCTCCTCCAGCCTTCAAACATCTCGAGACATAAATTGTACAAAATGGAACCAAATCTACCAGTGATGGCCAAGAGACTATGGAGCATAGTACGTGTAGTGTTCTTCATGTTGAGAAAGGGCATATCAAAGCGTAAACTAATGCTTGATCTCAACATGATGATGAAACGTGGCAAGATCGCAGGGAAGGCCATACACAACCTCATGTTCCACCACCACAGCTGGTCCACTTCCCATTGCCGCTCGCCCGACCGCCACGTGTCCATCGCAACAGCACCACTTGAGTTCGAGTTCAGCTGCAGTAACAGCCCAGCATTCCCCTTCCACGTCAGCAAGCGCAAACACCACCACAACAACCACCACTCTCACTTCTTCGCGTGTGCTCACGCGCCGCCCACCGACGACGACATGGCCACAGCCAACGCAGTGAAAAGGGTGCTGGAAATGCTGAACAGCGAGGCTGCGTCACCGGCGCTGCCGGGGTTTGGGCGGAGCCCGGCGGTGAGGCAGCTGAGGATAACGGACTCGCCGTTCCCTTTAGGGGACGTGGAATACGATCGCCACGTGGACGAAGCAGCAGAGGAGTTCATAGTGAAGTTCTATAATGAATTGAGGAAGCAGAACGCAATGGCTCCGTTGGGGTGGCGTTGAAAAAAATTCCAGCGAGTGTGTCAGATTCCGACGCGCCAAATCTCATGTTTTTGGACAGTGGTGGCCTTTGGGTCATATTGTTCGATCATGACAATAATTAAGGGTTGCATGAGCTTTCATTGTTTTTGATCTCTTGGTAAAGGTTGCATGGATTAAGAGCTGTAAATGATGTATTATGTTGCAAAGTTTTTAAAATTTCCACGTGTTTAATGTGTTGTGCCACCTAATTATTTGTATTTAATGAACAATTTCAATAAAAATTTTAGAACTATGTTTAAATTCCTTTAATACCCAGAGAGTGATTACTTTAAATTACTTTATTTTATTTTTAAAGAGTTTTGAATATAAAGCTAAAATTAAACATAATTATTACCGTTTTAATTAACAGCAAATATTGTTTTGAACATATTATTGTACTTACTGTATTACCCCTGCAATCCACCTGAATGACCATAATAGCTTTCACTACCTGACCAACAACTTGATACCCCCCCTGACTTGATTCCACTAAGCTAAAGTGAAAAATATAAAAGCTAGAAGCCCATTTTCCAAAAATATAAACCATATATTTTTCAACTTGTGCTTTTACTTTTTGCCTTTTTTTCTTTTAAAATAGTACACCAAAGTTCAAAGCAACTTCCTTTCTCTACACCCTTCAAAAACAAAACAAAAAACTTCCTTTCTCTATGTATGGTTGGTTACTTAGAAAGCCTTTTTATATTTTAATCACACCCACACCCAAATTAATTAGCACTGGTTTTTAAAACTTAGCAATAAAGGTACCAATATTAACTTAGTGCCAGGTCTTTTTTCTCATGCTTAATTCATAAATCAAGATTAATTTCATTATTATACCAGACAACATCCTCGATCATTATACAACAGAAAGATTTGAAACTTTTATAAAGCGAATCAATTGGTAAATGTATAGAAAAGCAATAAGTTGGAAACAAGATTATGCAATTATATATATATATATATATAGATATATGGGGGCGGACTTAAAAATTTATATGAGAGGGGATGACCTTTAACAAAAAAGAATTTAATAGGTATATAATGTTGTGGAGGTAATAGTGGAATTTTTTTATAATTTTAGTGGGGTATTTTTAAAATTTTAGAGGTATATAATTAAAAAAAAAAAAGTAAATAAGCAATACCAAAAAAAAAAAAAAATTCTTGGAGCAATTATCCCCACTAATCCATGAATAGGTATATTCCTATACATATATATATTATATATGGGAATTAGTTGTCCCATACAGCGGCATGAAGAGTTTATTTGATCAAAAACACATATTAAGAAGTCTGTTTTGCGCTTTTTTCATGTTTACTATTTTCAAAATATGTTTACATAGATATTCTCACATATAAGTGACATTAATGTCTCCTCTAGACTCTAGGTAATGTGACAGGTCACATATATACGCAAATTGATATAAGTATGTTAATTTTTATTTTGGGAGGGTCGACCCATGTATATAAATTTTGAATCTATCATATATGGGTATACAATGAAAATGGTGGAAGTGAGCTGGATTTTTATTTCTTGTGGCCATGAACAACTTGTTTAGGCTATGCTTTGCGGGCAAATCTTTAGGACAGGTAAGAAGATTTAACTTCTTTTTTTTTTCTTTTAATTTTTTGTCATACATGCAAAGGTGGCAAGCAAGCAATGAAAGCCAAAATTTAGGTCATATATATGTTAGGTGAAAGTGAAAGAATAAGGCAAATTAATGCGGGACACATGTCACAATTTGAACTTTTCTTTCCGTTTCTTAAACCTTTTTTCTTCCTTTCATTTTACCAAACCTCCATACTAATATATATATATATATATATATATATATATATATATATATATTGTGATTTTTTGTGAAAATAACTTATATTTCATCGTTATCCATAATTTTTTGTCTTTTAGTTATGATTGAGAAAAGAAGAGAACTTGCGTTATGTTCTAATGAAGAAGTTAAATAAGACTCCATTCAACTAGGATATATTTGGACTCCACCTGTTCAAAAAATAAATAAATAAATACTTATATATATGCACATACTATATTATAAGAGTATATATATATATACACAAACATTACAAATATACTATATTTGCATTCTTTTACATAGTTGTCAAATCATGTAAATACCATTTTCCTTGATTAATTATTGATTTCTTTCTTCTCAATCAAATAAAAATAGTTTCATCTCTCTTACCTTTCCTTTGATAATTTTCATCTTTTGTATTATTAAAGGGATAACTAATTAATAAACCTGAATAAATTCTAAATGAAAAGCAAAGCCTTGTATCAATGATTGAGTATATGTATATGAGTTATCGAGCCTCTCTCTTTCATTCACCACCATTTGTTAAACGGATTGTAGAAGAAAGACCATTTATTCCAAATCATGTTATGGTAGCAAATTTTGTATATCATTTGGCTTTAATTAAATATATCTCCATTAGATATTATAATAATTCGATATCATGAAACCAGCTGATCACAACAATAACTTAGTGATATATTTATATATAGATCGATATACATGTGTGTAACATGTAGGACCCCATATATATATATATATATTTGTCAAATCTTTGTTTCATATTTACATGCCACGTGCAGAAGAACCATAGTGTGTATAGACGATCCGTACTTGAATTGAATACATTCCTTTGAAAATTTGATGGTTATTTGACTTTCTTATCATTTTATTTTGGAAGCAACGGAAGTGAGTAGTTCTACAATTTAGCCGCCTCTCTCTCTCTCTCTCTATATATATATATGTGTGCGCACCCGTGAGAGAGCTGTACAGCTAAAAAAGTTGCGAAAAGTTTGAGTTTTCTAAAATTTACCTATTAATTAAACAATGACACTCAAATTAAAAGCCCACAAAGTTTGGAATAACATCGAATTTCAGTGAGAAAATTAATTAAAAAATCTGGAAGTTTTGTGCGTTATTCTAATCGTAAAAAAATCTACTATATATGAAGCAAAATATACCGATTTTTAATTCAAACTCAAACATTTTCGCTCTACCAAGACTCAATCTTCTCAACGCCCCTAACTTTGCGACTTCTCGTCCGACAGTTCTCGATTTCAGACTTATGCCTCAAACTTCGTAAAAGATTACAGGTACGTAGATCGACAACACTCCGCATGTGATGACCGTGTCATTTTTTTCTTTTTCCTAATATTATTTTTTTTATTATTATTTATTTTCCTTGTTGCCTTACGGTTTTGTGGACCCTAAGGTATGGTTTAGTGTCTGGAAATGGCTCCCGAAACTTCATGCATTCATTTTAATGCATTTTATCCATATAGTATAGTTTAATTGTGTTGCATTGTATGCCTCTTTAATTATACTTTCATGGGGGTATTTGTGCTGTAGACACTAATATTTCATGGACTTTAATTTTGACAAATTGACCCATCAAATATGGGTCTCATATTTAATTAAATTATTTAGTTGGCTCAAACTTGGTTAACTTAAATTATTTAATTAGCCCAGCCTAGGCGATTAAATAAAAAGATAATTATTCTTAATAATTTATATTTGGAATAATTATTTTTATGGATAATTATCACAATATAACCGGCCCGACCTAATTATAATTGTGTCCTTATCAAGAAATGACACATGTCATCATCTTATTCATCCAAAAAGTCTATAAATAGAGGCATGGAGGAAAGAGGAAGGTGTGCAAAAATTCAGAGACTTAGAAGTCCAGAGTAAAATACAAAAGCTCTGCCGACATTCATCTCCAATACCCAAGTCTTGAAAAAGAAGAGCAACAAGCACAACTGAAGCCGTGCTGTTCTTTCACAAATTCAACAAATTCTCAAAAGATGAAGAATAACAAGCACATCCAAAGTCGTATCGTTCTTCCTCAAATTCAAGAAAGAATAACAAGTACATTAAAATTGTACCGTTCTTTCCTTGCGATTCAACAAGTTTGAAGAATCAACAAACAACATTGTTTAAGATCAAGTTTCTATAACCCTCAATCAGAAATCATCGACGATCGTCCTTAACTACAAACACTTGAAGAAGATTGTCAACAGCCCGATTCAAGATCAAACTCCAACAACCCTTGGATCCAACTAATAAAGGAGATCGAATCAGATGATATTTTCTTTCTTTTGTAAAGAATATCTCAGATGATTGTACTCATCAATTTTCATAAATTAATAAAATTATTATTTGCCCCATATTTCATTCTTTTATTTGTAGATACGAAATTTGTGTGTACAAATTTCTGGCACGCCTGGTGAGACATCCTCTATCTTTCATTTCTTTCTCCTATATCAAATCTTTAACAAATTCTCATCGTCAAAATTTATGACTTCCGATAAGATTCAGACGAAAAGCAAGAATACCCCCAAGGACACCACAATCATGATGAACAACATCAATACCAGCACAAAAGGTGGTAAGAAGGTTGCAACTTCACCAAGTGGTACCAACATCTCTACAAGCCTAATGATTTGAAAAATAGCCAAAGCATCTATTCCCATCAAAAAGGAATACGATGCGGTAAAAGTTAACTCCATTAAGTCTGCTAAAGCAACGACTCAAACTCATACCTTCTTCGCCTTGCTGGGGGCAAGAAAGAAGGTTTCTGTAAGCTCAAAGATTCAACTTACTTTAGAAAATTTGTTGTCAAAACATATCTCTGATCATCCATTGAAAGTCTTTTCAAATGTTGCTCTAATCATAAGTCCAAGTTCAAGGCTAGTCCCACGGCCACAAATCTCCTCTGACTTAGTTATTATGCCAGTTATGATGACTAGTACTACCTTGTATGAAGAGAAATTGACAAGTATGGCCCATGCAATTGAAAGACTACAACAAACTCTCAAGGAGCAAGATTTGAAAATTACCTCGCTGACAAAAAAGTTAAATTTGCGTGACAATAGTGCTGAGTCAAGCAAAGGACAAATTCCTCCTTCTGATTCCATGCCAAAGATTACTCCAATTGACGATCAAAATGACATGTCCACCAACCTAGCAATTGAAGCTGCCTCTATCACCTCACTTTCTGTCCAACAACTTCACGACATGATAATGAATTGTGTGAGAAAATAATACAGTGGCATCCCTCAAAGTGCTTGCATGTACTCAAAGCTTTACACATAAAGAATTGACAGCTTAAAAATGCCAATTGGGTATCAACGTACCTCCAAAGCTTTAACAGTTTGATGGAAAAGGAAATCACAAGCAACATGTCCCACACTTCATGGAAACTTGTGGCAAT